TAATAAGTTAAAATTGTAGCACGCGAAATTCTGATCAAAATGAGACATTGCCCAGCTCTACATGACATTTCTTTGAAAAGTTATGGAATTTACAAGAAAAGCCCTAAATCGATTTTTTCCTTCTTATATTTGTAGCTTTGAGCTGACAATGAACATTTGGGCTTTTCTTGTAAATTCCATAACTTTGCAAAGAAATGTCATATAGAGCTGGGCAATGTCTCATTTTGATCAGAATTTCGCGTGCTACAATTTTAACTTATTAAGAAAAGTTTTGGAGAGTTTTTGGAGTTTNGTTTTCTAGAAATCCAGTCTTTGGAGGCCTAGCGGCCCAAACCATTGTCATATTCGGATTCAGCACATTCTTTTACCTATTACCCACTAGCTTAGAGCTGAAAAGCGAGGTGGGAGTTGGTGACCTTCCCTCGTGAGTTTCCGTATAAAATACTCAAATTTGTATAATCTATTTGTATGTTTTATATCCACATTTCTTGTCGTATAAATCGCTGAGTGACATGATTGTTAGCCAATTAATTCTACTCTGTATATAACAGTATTTTAGTTATTTTAACAACCATAACAAAAACTTAATTGATGAACAGAGTGATATTCATTTTACTTCCTTTTAGAAATTGTGTATTTTAACAGTTAATGGAAGATGATCACAACAAATATTTCTTCATCGGTAAGAGTTCTAAAAAAATAGAAAATTTGAAAAAATTTTGATCAAAGATTCACGAAAATGAAATATATTTTCTGATATTTTTACATATTAAAATGTTGACACGAGTTATGTATCATAAGCAAGTTGTGCTGTTTTCCTAATTGATATTTTCACAAAATTGTACGACGGGCTTTATTTTTAGTCTGCTATGAAATTAATATTTGTCGTATTATGCTGTATTTTGTGTATTTTGTCATCACTACTGTATTCTCAAACTCGAATTGATTTCAGAACGTTTCATACGAACATTATTGATAGTATTCTTGGAATATCATTCAGCAATAGGTCGTTATTATTCGCCACGGTTACTTCTGAAAACATGACTTCTTCAACTGTAACGGAAAAGCGTACTAATTCAAAACGTTTTGCCATTTTTGCATGTTCAATTCATTCAACAACCGCTGCCTACTATTTTTACTCTCCTATTACAGCTGCCGCATGGATGCGTGTTGGTTATGAGGTGATTGTTGTATTTGTTGGAGATTTTCATGCACAGCGATTGTCAAACTCGACAGCAGAACAAAACTTAGCTAAACGTATCAATTTGACACATACCTTCCTTTTAAAAATTGGTGCACACGTTGTCAATCTTCCATGCAATTCATCCTATGCAATTAAAATGAGTCAGATAGTTAGAGTGTTTGTTGGTTTTTTACCCACAGCAATTGTGCAAGATAATGACTATATTATCACGGCCGACAGTGATTTATTACCTGTGAAATTCTCAGAATATCAACCAACAACTGGGACTGATGGATTTATATTCAACGCCTTTTGTTGCGGAAATTTTAAACGACGATCGAAATCTTATCGAATGTTTCCAATGGGTCATATCTACCTGAGAAAAGATGTTTGGAGAGATCTTATTGTCAATTCTACACAACGTTCAGAATTATTAGCTATGGAACAAAATCGAACTTTTCATTTATCTTTAACAAACAGGACTGAAGATTCATACGAGAAAAAACTCTTGTCACAATATTCCAATTTAACTTTGCTGTTGCAGGATTTTTCCTTCAAATTTGAGCTTATGACATTGTATATGAGACATGAATTTCGTTCTGTATATGATCAACAGATGGGTAAAGGTGATTCAGCATGGTACATGGATCAAGTTATGGTTAGTATGTTATTAACTGATTATAGGTCAAAACATCCCCAACTTAAAATAAGTGAACGTGGACGAATCGGTCGACTAGATCGTATTTCACCCATGTCTTATTGGGATCGTGATACGTTCAACGAATTTGGTGATGCCCATTTAAAACATGATGAAATCTTACAACCCGAGAACTGGAAAATTTTTAATAAACTTTTAAAATTTCTTTTTAATTACACTTTGGTTGATATTATGAATGATTATTACAGACAGTACATAATAATAACTAAAACAAAAAAATAATCCTGATCTTAATATACGAATAAGATAAATGCACAAAAAGTTCATCAGCGATGACCCATAGTCTGTCAACCACTAATTTCAATCTACCCCCTGACTCCCTTCACACTTGTTTTTCATTTTCAAATACTTTCTACTTTTAGTTTTGGAGCTAGTTCTACTACTTGAACCAACACTGACGAATAAGAGTAGCAGAAATATATTATCTGAAACATTCTCCTCTTCCCCCGCACGCATACACTAACAAAATCCTGGCTATGCCACTGCTTGAGACATCTACTAAGAACATGAGGAAACGAGTTATAGAAATTTGTGTAGAACGTATTCGATAGAAATTATCCGTTATTACTAATCGAAAAATAAGCAGATTTAGTTTCATTTGCAGTATAAAACAAATTTAATTCCATCATACACTTCAGTTGTGACTTTATATATACTTTGTTAACATTTTTTCTATGACAATGTCACATCCTAATAATATCTAAAAACGGATTTTCCGTGACATCAGTTTGCATTTGTTAAAATATGGGTGTGAAGAATGGGGTGAAGGTAATGTCACATTTTTCCCGTTACATGTTACTGTAAATTTGAAAAAAAAGAGAAGTTCGTGCTTTTTTCACCTACTTTTCTCTGAGTCACATACAGAAATTCGTTCCTTCACTGAGTAAGGTCCGTGAAGTATGTAATCACAGGCTTTTCAACCCGGAGGTTGTCAGTCAGACCTGTAATTTTTCCGTGAAAATATGGATTAAAGTGCGTGAAAAATTACAGGTCTGACTGACAACTTCCGGATTGAAAAGCCTGTGATTACACACTTCACGAACCTTCCCACTGAAAAAAATAATCAAAATTCATGCAGGATCCCGCGGGTTATCGGTATCAAAATATCTGGCGATGTTTCTTACCTTTACGCAGGATTTTTATACTGCCAGTCTTGACAGAACCCTGCATAGTTTATGTAGGGTCAGCATGGAAAAAATCCTGCGTAAAGGTAAGAAACATCGCAAGACTTTTTGACTTATTCAATCCACAAGTTTTTTCCTACGAGATCTGGCAGAATTT